CGATGATGTTTGCACCTGTTCCGCAGCACAGAGAACACGTATGAGTGAGCAAGGAAGCGGCGGGGGGGCACATGCACATCGTCCTGGTGATAGTCGCAATGACTCACCCGCATTTGCACACTTGTCAATCGTTTTGGGACCAACGCCTCCATCGACCTCCACGTCCAAATCTGGAAACCTGGCGCGAAGCTCGGCTACTTTTGGCATGCACTCCTTCATGAACTTTTGTCCTCCAGCGCCTATTTAATAGCCGAAACAGAATGCAGCGGGCGCACCCATCAGTCCATCGGTGTTATTGTTGTGACCCTTTTTAAATTAACTCACCCGGCCACACCGTCATCACCAGGATCATATCCACAGCTTCTCCGAGCTCGTTCGAGATTTCTGAGCTAGGAGTGCCCGGGTTGATAGCGACTGCTGCTCTCATGCCTGTCGCTTTAATCTGTCTGACCACATCCATAGGATCGTCTGTAGTATTGCAAAGGCGGAGACGTGAAACATCAGCGAGATGCTGTAAGACCATAAAACAGTCGAGACTGCGCACCTGCAGCTTCGATGTGAAACGTGTATGACTTTCCGCCCGCTTCTGCGATATCTTTGACCCACTGTTGCGTGTGAGAGTTTCTATGCGCGCATTCAGTTCACGTTCTTCGCCGATCTTGGGCTTTATGAAGCACTCACACGACCAGGCTCTGTGACCATCATATGACACTGTGGTCGGTGTTGTACGCGACTGTGTCAGATGAATACGCAAGCACCTCCAAGCGCTCGCAGACTCACATCCATGAAGATATTGGGCACAGCTTTGGACACTGAAGAGATGATGGGCGCTCCGAGGACAATGTTTGGCACAAAGTGCCCATCCATGACATCTGTGAGTGACGTCGAGAGGCACAGAAAGTCAGTGCGCTGCTCTTTGCAGTGCTCAAGACCTGCTGGAGCAGACTTGTACTAGCACCCCTGCTGTCCCATCAGCGGGCACATTTTGCATGGATTCGCTCGCCCTCGTTGTGGAACGAATGCTATGTTTACATTCCCACCGACTTGAAGCTTGCGCCCTCACTCACCCATGTGAAGCCAATCCGCACCCGCATCCATCATCCTTTTGCATTCCGCATTCAAGTTGCCCATATCGGCAGCAAGCACCGAAGGTGCGATGATGACGCGTGGCATCCTTGCTGGTCCTGGTCAGAAGTGGGGTGGATGCTAGGTGAATCAACGAAGTGAACCGTAGAAGTGTGGTATTGCGCAGCGGTCGGCGTGATCTTGGACGCTCAGTCAAGGTCGAGCAGCTCCGCCTTCTAGGTCAGCTCAGAAGCGGGTGATGTGCGATCCAATCGCTCGACAGATTTGGAGGTGTACTGAGGATTCGTGAGGCCCGGAATGAGATGCAACCGGCTCGAATGCTCAACCAAAGCCAGCGGCACGCAAGACTCGTAGCCTAGGCGGTGTGCGTGTGTGTGTCTGTGTGTGTGGCCCAGGAATTTCGAGGGTGCAGATGCGTGGTGCAGTGTGCTAGCAAGAGCGCAGTGGAGCTTTAGCTCGTGATTGTGATTGTGAGAGTGGAGCTGTTGTGGAGATGCGAGTCGAGAGTCAAGAGTCGTGAGTGCTGATGTGCGTCCAGCTCGATGACCTCTCTAGCATAGCTGTATCTGCTTAATTCAAAATTGCATTCAAATTCGATGCGGTCACGAATTTCATACCCAACATGATAGACCCTGTGTACAAATAATAAATAGCTCTGCTGATATGATGTCGCACGCGCGCGCTCTCTCTCCTATACAAGCTGCAATCACGAATCAAAATGTATGTGGCTGCGCGTGCCTGATGCTGCTGGACTGCGCTCGGTAATTTCGGCTGGAGCGCATTCAATGCTCCTGCCTACATACTACTGCATACTCGTGACTGTATCTATACCTACGATTATACGGCACCGTACCTTTACCGTAGCGAGCTGCAAAGCTGATGCACCTGCCTGCTTCCTCGATCGCCTGCCCGGACCCCTGCTTGCGCTGTCGTAGAGGCGTGTGCAGACACAATCAAGAATCTCCTCTCTGCTGGACGTGCTGTCTTGAGACGAAAGTCAAGAAGTGTGAGTGTGTGAGGTGGTGAGTTGCGAGTCGTGGGTGTAAGGTGCTGTCAAAGCCACCACCACAGCACGTCCCTGCCATGGGCCTCGGACTTTTGGGGGCAGCCATGCAACGATCTCCTCACGGGGCAGCAAGCGCAAATCAAGAGATGCCCGGGGCCACCGCGCTAGTGCAGGCAGGCAGGCGCCCCACCAATTCATTCACATTCAGATTCCTCGATCTAAGATGATCGATGTTGTGAAGCTGCAAAGCTGTCCCATTCGTCATCAATGTGAGCACTGCAAGATCCACCATTGGTGATTGCAAATCCGAATCAAAGGCCGACGACGGCTTGGCAGCTCGATCATCTCTTGGTTCAGCATACAATGTGGCTGTGCTACAAGAAGAGTCTCGCTTGGTGAAGCCAAGCAAACAGCTTGCTGCTGCTGGTGATGTCGCACGATCATGGCGGTAGCCTGACTGAATGAATGCGGGCGGGGTAGGTAGGGTGCGACGACCCACTCCCACTCACTGACTCTCTCACTCTCACCGATGCCAACACCATGGATCATCGTGGCGTCCCATGTCTCATCCATGGGGGCCGCGCTTCCTCGAATGTGTATCATCACTCTGCTCGCCAGCAGGTGGGGCGCTCGATCGGATGCCTTGATACTTGGATGATGAGTCTTGAGGAATGAACAGCATCCACATTCACGATTGATGAGTCTTGAGTTGCATCCTTGATTCCATGCAGGTTTAGCCGCCCGCTTGTCACGTGACTCTTTTCCACGTGGGTTGCGATCTCATCCAGAGGTTCCCAGACTCGATCTACACCTCCATAAAGTTCGAGCTTGTCTCTGTTTCAGCACCAATCAGTCCAAGCACACCGCCCACCACGAATCGGCAACTCGGTGTGATCTTCGACCATCGACGAGGCCCTCCAAGTGTCGGACATTGTCTGCACCGCTGCAATCTGCTTCCTTAGTCGCACCGAGCCCAGGCCCGTCTTCCATCGCCAGGCCAGGCCAGAAAGCAGCGCTTCAATCCCAAGACGTAGTCTTGCCCAATATGTCTGTGAGTATGTGCATCCAAGCTATCAGGACCAGCAAGATGTTCATGCCGCTCACATCAATCACCACGCCTCGATACTGGCCATGTTCGCGCTGTCAGCGTGGAGGCATCAACGCTGGCGATTCCAAGCTCGTCTTCGAGTCTTCCGAGGAGGTCAAAGTCGCGCCGACTTTTGACGCTTTGGGGCTCAAGGAGGATTTGCTGCGAGGGATATACGCCTACAACTTCGAGCGCCCCTCAGCCATCCAACAGAGGGCCATCTTGCCCATCGTGAGGGGAAGGGATGTCATCGCTCAAGCTCAAAGCGGAACGGGAAAAACGGCAACTTTTAGCATCGCCCTGTTGCAGAGCATCGATACCAGCTTGAGGGAAACGCAGGCGCTGGTACTTAGCCCGACAAGGGAGTTGGCAACGCAGATTCAGAGTGTCGTGCTGGCCTTGGGGGACTACATGAACGTGCAATGTCATGCTTGCATCGGTGAGTGTGCTCCTTCTTCACAGGAGAAATTCTGCTGGGAAGGGAGTGCAGCGGTCCTCTGTCTGCCAGGACAGGCTACATGCTCTTTGATTCATGGAGCGGAATACTCTAACTTCTCTGTTGCTGATACCTGTCTGCGCTTTGAATCGCTCCGATCTTAGGAGGAACCTCTGTGGGCGAAGACATTCGCAAGTTGGAGTACGGGCAGCACGTGGTCTCTGGGACACCCGGCAGAGTATTCGACATGATCCGCAGGAGGCATCTTCGCACAAAGAACATCAAGATGCTCATCCTGGATGAGAGCGACGAACTTCTCAATTTGGGCTTCAAAGATCAGATCTACGACGTGTACAGATACCTGCCCCCAGCTACTCAGGTAGTGCTGCTCTCAGCCACGCTGCCCCAGGACGTGCTCGAGATGACTACCAAGTTCATGACAGATCCGTAAGTAGCCTCCGCGTCATCGCTTCATTTGCAGTGCCAGCATGTAATTGACGGCAAACTCTCTATGCCATAAGAATTCGTATCCTAGTCAAGCGTGACGAGCTAACGTTGGAAGGCATCAAGCAGTTCTTCGTAGCGGTGGAAAAGGAGGATTGGAAGTTCGACACACTCTGCGATCTGTACGACACGCTCACCATCACTCAGGCGGTCATCTTTTGCAACACGAGGAGAAAAGTGGATTGGTTGACGGAAAAAATGCGGGAGAATAATTTTCAAGTCAGCAGTATGCACGGCGAAATGCAGCAAAAGGAGAGGGACGCCATCATGGCCGAGTTTAGGCAGGGTGCTAGCAGGGTGCTCATCACTACCGATGTGTGGGCGCGAGGCATAGACGTTCAGAACGTGTCGCTGGTCATCAATTACGATTTGCCTTCGTGAGTGCTGGGCGAATCGAACTTGCGTTGAATCAGATAGCTCACGGAACTGGTGCCCGTGCTTCAGCAACCGCGAGAACTACATCCACCGTATCGGTCGATCAGGTCGTTTCGGGCGCAAGGGTGTCGCGATCAATGTGAGTGATTGTCAAGCTCTCAAAGAGGCTGTAAAGGGGGCGCGCCGAAGCTCACGGATCTCATTCATCACCTTTTGATCCGCAGTTCGTCACAGTGGAAGACGTTAGGATTCTGCGAGATATCGAACAGGTCAGTCACTGTGCTGCTCTGCGAGTGATGGGGTAGACGAGCTAACGTGCCCCCTTCGTCTTACCTCTGCCATCCACAGTACTACGCGACGGTCATCGATGAGATGCGTGAGTTGGGCAGCCCTTAGGATTGGCAGAGTGTTGCACTGCTATCCCTCATGCTGACATTTGCATATGTCGTCCCCACCTGCTCGTAGCTGTGCGAGTCGAGGATTTGGTACGTTTCGCCCCGTGATCGATACGCCGACTACATACCTTGCTCACGCGCCTCTTTCTTACTGTGATCTCTCTTGCTCTTCAGCTATAAGCTGGTCCCCTGTCAGATCTCATAACGTGCTCTACTCAGAATTGCACTTCAGCGAGTCGATAAATGCATTGATGATTCAGTTGCGATCTCTGATCCTTGAAGCTCAAAGGTTTGCGCATTTGGAACAGGAGGCGCGCGCGCAGAGGTTGAGACGAGCGCTACAGGCACAGACGGACAAGATTGACGAGCGAGAGGAAGCACGCTACGAGCGCTTCTGGATTGTCTCATGAAGGAGAGGCCCCGACCATCGTATCGGCTCTACTTCTGAGCAAATTTAGCCTTGATCTTCTCCGGCACCGATGGATCGTTGAGACTGCTGAGGTCGCCCAGTTGGTCGCCTTCTCCCGAAGCGATTTTCCTAAGGATGCGGCGCATAATCTTGCCTGAGCGCGTCTTGGGCAGGTCGACGCCTTCGGTGAGGATGACGATCTTTTTTGGTGCCGCAAAGGGACCAATGTTGCGCCTGACTTGAACGACGAGCTCCTTGGAGAGAGCCTCTTCATTGTCAAAGGAGAAGTTGGGCTTCAACGTGACGTAAGCGCAGATAGTTTGACCCGTCATCTCGTCCGGAATGCCCACGACTGCAGTCTCTGCGACTCCTGGATGTTGGATCAAGGCGCTCTCGATCTCGGCTGTGCTCAGTCTGTGACCCGACACATTGATGACGTCGTCCACACGTCCCTTGATCCAAATGTATCCATCCTTGTCTCTCGCAGCTCCATCACCGGTAAAGTAGAAGCCCTTGTAAGGTCGGAGATAGGTGTCCAGGAAGCGATCGTGGTCATTGAAGATGGTACGAGCTTGGGCGGGCCAAGGCTGGCGGAAGGCGAGAACACCCTCCACCTCGTTGCCCTTCAGCTCCTCTCCGCTCGTAGGATCCAGCAGCACCGGTTCAACCCCCCAGAACGGTCTCGTGGCGCTTCCCGGCTTGGTCTTGATGGCACCCGGTAGCGGGGTGATCATGATGCTACCAGTCTCGGTCTGCCAATAAGTGTCCACAATGGCACACTCTCCCTTTCCGACATTCTCATTGTACCAATTCCAAGCTTCTGGGTTGATCGGCTCTCCCACTGATCCTAGGGTGCGCAGGGTGGAGAGATCGTGTCCCTTTACGAAATCTTCGCCCATTCTTCGCAGCAGGCGAATAGAGGTGGGCGCCGTGTAGAATTGAGTCAGCTTGTGCTGAGCCACGACCTCCCAGTACCGGCTCGCGGTCGGATAGACTGGTGTAGACTCGAAGACCAGCGTAGTCACGCCGTTCATGAGTGGGCCGTAAACGATGTAGCTGTGACCAGTGATCCACCCCACGTCGGCCATGCACGCGAAACGATCGTTTTCATGCACGTCGAAGACATGCTTGACTGTGAGGGCTGTGCCAAGCAAGTAACCAGCAGTGGTGTGAACAACACCCTTCGGCTTGCCGGTGGATCCCGAGGTGTAGAGGATGAACAGTGGGTCTTCGGAAGAGACGCTCGTAGGTGGGCAGTAAGGTCTTTCGCGCTTGGTGATGTCGTGGTACCACTCATCTCTACCCTCGGTCATGCCCACATCCTTGTTTCCGGTACGTTGCACAACAATGCAGTGCTCCACTTTAGGGCACTCCTTGAGAGCAGCGTCCACGATGCTCTTTGTTGCTATGGTGCGACCTCCGCGCTTGCCTTCGTCGGTCGTGATCACCACTCGAGCTTCGCAGTCTACAGTGCGATCTCTGAGAGAGTCGGCAGAGAAACCGGCAAATACTACAGAGTGCACAGCGCCCAGACGGGCCGTAGCGAGCAGAGCAACGACAGCCTCGGGGATCATGGGCAGGTAGACGATGACGGTGTCTCCCTTTTTGACTCCGCGCTTCTTGAGTGCATTGGCCAGCTGGCTGACTTGAGCCAAGAGCTCTTTGTAAGTGATGATTCTTGCCTGACCTGGCTCATCGGCTTCGTAGATGATGGCCGCCTGAGTGTAGCGGGAGAGGTTCGTGTGCAGGCTAATCAGCAAAGTTGCGCTGCCTGTATCCGAGAGTGGTCCGCGATGCAGAAAGTGCTCACCTTGTCTGGATTGCTGAAAGCCCAGCGATCAACACAATTGTAAGAGGCGTTCAATTTGCCTTCTGGGAACCACGCCATATCTCCATTCTCAAAGCCGCCGGCGCGGACCGTCTTGAAGGGCTCATCCCAGCTGATCGTCTCGTTAGCCAGCTGCGAGCAAGCGGGGAGGAAGAGGGGAAAGATAGTGTCAGGCAAGGCACGTCCAAGCTGAGTCGTGTCAGGAAGAGAGTTGTACGCAAATGCTTCGCCGCGAGGTGCCAGGGAAGATAGCATATAGGCGGCTTGGCATCATGACGCAGTCTTAGCTGGCCGCATGCTTGGCAGAGATCGACGCAGGCTATGCCAGCTCGCGCAGCAGGGAGGCAGCAGTCAATCGTGAATGGCGTTGGGCACTTGTTCGAGCATTATGGCAAGATCGCCACATTGTCTGTCAGCGCGCTTGGCGCTGCCTCAAGCCCGCATTCAGGAGGCAGAACCACGCCGCAGCTGCCGGCATTCGAGCCCAGCCCAGCACTCCAACTTGACGTCGCTTTAGTGTGCCGTGCCAGTGAATTATGTATCGCTGCGCAGCTCACCTTGCTCCAGAATGCGTCTGGATTTTGAATGGAAGCTGCGTGATCCTTTTCGTACGTCTTGAGGTCAATGTGAGGCGTTGGAAAGTTCTTGCCAGCCAATCGCGCCGGCACATCGTGCACTGGACTGTCGGCGTACTCTGCCATCGTGTTCGTCAGCGCTTGGTGCCTGTTTCGTGCCTTGTGCTGATTGAAGGATGAAGGGTGTGTATGCGCTTGTCCTACTCTCTGATTCGGCGATGAAGCGTTTCAGAAGTCTGTGATGGTGGTGCTGAGTATGAATGAGGCAGATTTTGGTGAGGCAGCTGGACACAC